CTAGTGGGTGTTTTTCTGATTGGATGGAGGGTGCTCAGCTTGTTCTGAATGGGGATGCACTCCCCCTAAAGGAGCAAGCTTGTAGACTGAAGTTCTCTTTGATCTACCTTTGTCCCTGGTGGTTCCGGTGGCTTCAGTGGCATGGAGTGAGCTTCAGATGGTAGCCCAGCTATGCCCCTATTTGAACAGGAATATTCCAGTTTTAGTAATCTATGTTCTAGTAATCTTGACATTAGATTACTGCAATCCATTTTACACAGGACTGCTGTTGAAGACCATTCAGAATCTATATCTGGGGACTTCCTCCAATGGACAACTTCAAGAGAAGCCCAGAAAGAGGGAACAAAGAGGGACTTCTCAGTGGTGGATTCCCAGTCATGGAAAGATTTTTCCACTGAGGCCCATCTGGTGCCCACCTGGTGCATCAGGTATTTCATGGCATATGCTGGGATATTTCAGTTGTTTTAATCAGGTCTAGTTCTATTGAAATTGTTTTAGATATTTAAACTGTTTTAAATCTGTATACCAGTCAGTCCTAGAGATCAACCCTGACTGCTCTTTAGAAGGCCAGATAGTGAAGATGAAACTCAAATACTTTGGCCACCTAAGGAAGGACTCACTGGAGAAGAGCCTAATGCTGAGAACAATTGATGGCAAAAGAAGAAGGGGACAGCAGAGGATGAGGTGCCTAGATGGAGTCACTGAAGCAGTTGGTGTGAGCTTGAGTGGACTCCGGGGGATGGTGGAGGACAGAAACGCCTGGAGGAATGTTGTCCATGGGGTTGTGATGGGTCGGACACGACTTCGCGACTAACAACAAACTGGAATTTTGTACTGTGCTTTATTGTATCTATATATTTCTTGCATTTCTTTTTATTATAATTCAAGAAATTGTTGTGAACCTCCCAAATAGCTTCAGCTATTAGGAGGTATAGCAAGAAAAAGTGAATAAAATTAATACTATGTCTTATACAGCTGTTGAGAGTCAAGAATTCTATAGGCATGAGATGCTCCCCCACCCTGCTTTTAAGCTCCAAACAGGGGTTCTGCTAGTGGGGAAAAAAAAAGAGGTCCAGCTAAAATTCTAAGGCGGCAATCAATTAAAGCAATATCGTCATCTGTTAAAGCAACAGTAACACATGTAGGGTTGCAGTGGAAGGCTGTAATATTATCCACAATTACCAGCAAGTTCTGAGTAGATATAAACAGGCTTACAGAGTAAACCTGACAGTCAAACACTGATTCTGCAGCAGAGCTCTGGCTCAGATTAAGGCTACAGTGCTGGACATGCTTCCTCCAGATTAAGCCTGGTTATGGTTAGGAAACATACTTAATTGGGAATAAGCACTTATTTTGTGATTAAGGCACTATTTGTGTTTATCCTATCCTTTCCTCAAGAGATCAGGCAGCACACAGGGACCATGTTATTCTCACAGAGGACTTGCAACACTTTGCACTGAGGCGTACTCCTTTTCCCCATGGCTCCCCCAGAAAAGATTCTGGTCCTCCCACATGTGACTCACACCCCCCGTGAAGGGTGGGCTGGGCTTTGGGGTATTAAAATAAACCCACAAATAGGTAAACCAGTGATTCCGGCCTTCTTCCAAAACCCTACCTGTGTGCTGTGACAACAACTGTGTAGCTGGATTTTCAAGGCCATGCATGACAAAGGTAGAGTATGTTTCCAGTTTTATTTTCTAACATATTATCCCAGACAAACAACTTACGCTTGCTTTACATCAGGCAGCAGGTATAATAGGTGGACTCTTGGACTGGGGCTCAGGAGATCTGAGTTCTAGTCCCCACTCAGCAATGAATTTCACTGGATCAGTCACATACGTTCAGCCTAGCCTACCTCACAAGGTTGTTGTTATGAGGATAAAGTAGAGAGGGATAGAACTTTGGAAGTTGTCTTGGGATCCTTGCAAGAAAAAGAAAGGCAAAGTATAAATGTGCTGCAGTGATAATAATCCAAAATTTATAGCCCATGTGCAGTCCGAGTTGATCCCTTCTTTTGCCTATTATCTCCCCGTAGTACTGCCATGTCACTCTTGACTGCTGCCTCTGTAGCCTGGCGCAACTGCCCACGAACAACCCACAGTTCACACAATGAAAACCCAAGGGTTACTCAACCCAGCCCTAGCATCTGATTCATAAGAATCAAGTACCACTACTGAAGAGAGTGGCTTCAGTTCGGCATGATGGTCATGCAGGCAATGGGGGCATTCACTTTATTGCTAAATGGACTGCACTCCAGTGAGAGTAGGGAACCTGAAAATATGTGAGAGATGCTGACTAAACACCTTGTGTAAAGGATGCCTATGGAGCTTAAGTAAGTAATGGATGTCAGCCTGTATCTGGACTGGTAATTAAATCTTAAGGCATGCATTGCTTTACTAAGATTAATGTGGTTTTTCAAGTTTCTTGCTGAGGTAAGAAACTTTACTGAAAGTATTCTTGCAATCTAATTTATCACTGTGTTCATCCCCATAATGCCAGAGCAACCAAATACTCTGCATGAATTTAGGTTGCCCACATATTATTCTTTATAAATACATAAACCTCTAGAGAGGGGAATTCTCTGGGTGTGCATCAGTATTGTCAAGCTTGAAAAATGAAATCAATGAGTTGAACAAGGTAATGCCATGACTGCTTCAAAATGTGGAATTTACCTTCGGTATCTGCCCCTGGTCAGGTCTCAAAGCTACTCTACCCTACCCTGTCGGAAAGGACAGAGATCCTTGTAGTTAGACCACATGCCTGATCTCTCTACCCACTCCCAGGTGGGTAGAAGATTATCTTCCAGGTATGAATATGCAGAAGAATCTTTTGGAACGGTTTGGAAGGGAGGGCACTGGTCATATCCCAACAATGAACCACTGGTGGAGAAAGGAGGGTTGTCCCCCATAGAAAGTATTAGACCTGTGGGAAGAAGAAAAGGACAAAATAACCTTCTCTCTCCAGCTCTGTTGAGCCCCAAAATTGGTTGTTGCTGAAGTTAAGAGATTTCCCACACATGGGATACTTCACTGAAGAACATGCTCTCCCCCACATAAAGTGTAGCTTTCCCTGCCATGTCTGGGGTGGCCAGCAACTCAGCAGAGATGAGGCATCTGGAGTGGCAATAGGTCAATCCTGCCCAGCTCGGGCTCCATGACTACTAAGGGGGCAGCCCCTGCTCCAATGAAGGAAAATGCTGGGAGATGAGTAGGAGCTTTCCCTCCCTGCATTGACCACCTTATCTCATAATAACCAGCTTCAACTACCACACCCCACCCAAAGTGAAGGACATGTTTCATTCATTTCAGTGGAAGGTGCACAGCATGCTAAAATCTCTCCAGCTGAACAAAATCAATGAGACTGAGGAGTGTTCCACTCTATGGATCCTGGCTGTAAGTTAGCCTAATTCCCTTAAGCATATTTCTGGATTGGCTTGAGGTAGGCATTATGCTTTTATTGCAGCACTACTCATCTCTACTCAGGTGTGCTCAAACCACTTTCCTTCTTTCTGTTGGAGACAGCAGCCCTTCTCTGGATATGGACCAAAATCACAGTCGCTGCCCAGCAATAGGTTTTCTGTCTACAGCATGCTTTGGACCATGTCCAAAGTGCACAGTCTCATTCTGTGCCTCTTTATGCAGAAGTCCCACTGCTTGCAATGGGATGTAGGTGACAGCCATCCTTTTCAGAAACACAAGAGGTAAAAGATTTTTTTAGGCATTTTTGGGATGTCTCTCCACACACACACACACACACACTTCTGTGACATGTGCTTTCCCCTAATCCTAAACACACTCTCCTGAGAATAAGTTCCACCAAATGCGATGGGCCTTACTTCTGATTGGATACACCCACTGTTTGCTCTTCTTAAATATGCCTCTCGCAGTCAGTTGTGGTGTGCTGGCCTGAGACCTGGGAGCTTCTAGGGCCCACTCAAGCCATGAAGTTCACTGGGTGACACTGGACCAGTCACAGACACTCAGCCTAGCTTACCTTGCAGGGTTGTTGTTATGAGGGTACAATCAGTGGAGGATGACTATGTAAGTGGAATATAAATGCAGTATACCTGTAAATGTAGCGATATCTAGAGCTTTAATTTAAGACAAATGATGCACGTCCTTGTCCCATTGAAGGCAACGGACAAAGAACTCCTATCTCTGGCTTATGCTCAGGGTTGGTTATCTACTCATAAACAGTGAGGGCACGTTGGCTCCCCCGCTCCCCGCCACTGGGACACAAGGAAATGTGCTCTGAAGCACGCAGAAGTCTGGCACAGATTTGTAGATAGTCTTTTAATCCGAGATAACCTCCCCCGGGAACACGCTATATGTTGTTCTCGCAAGGGCGCGGCGCACCCGGGCAGCCTTTGCCAAACGCGGGGAAACGGAGATTTCCTGCTTTCCTTGCCAGAGCGGCCTGGCGTTATCCCTTCCTTTCCACCAGAGGGACAGAGCCGTAACCTGAGAGCCTCCTCCTTCCTTGGTAGAGAAGTTTCCCGGGCACGTTTAGGACTTCAGGAGGGGTCGTCGCCTCCATAACGAGTTGTTCGAACGACTGCGGTTCCCGGGAAAGGCGACCCCTTTCGGACAAGGTTTCCTCGGGAAAGAGACCCGCCAGTGGGACGTGACCTAGGTAAATTCGGCGCAGAAGAAGGGCTTAATGCTTTGTGCTCACCAGTGCTACGCACCATAAAATTGGAAGGAGCGTGGCCTGGCTTGGCGTTTTAATCCCGCGCTTCCGACCTCTCCGGCTTTATGCAGGCAGGAAGCTTACAAGGATGCATTTGCTCGCAGTTGTGGCCAGAGGGAACCGGAGGAGTGAGGGGAGAAAAAAATAGCTCATTTAATCCTCGCTGGTACACCTTCTCGGGGTTGGGCTTGCCCAGGGGAAGCAGGTGGCCTCTTCGGCCGCGCTGCAGTGCCTGAGACTACAAAGGATGCGGGGTCACCTCTCCACAGCCGGGAAGCAAAACGTTTTGTCTCTGGGAGATTAAAGCCTTCGGTCGTCTCAACTCCGCCCTCCGCGCCACACTACCCCTGAAAGCAGGAAGGGAGGCATCCGAGCCCGGGGGTGGGGATTGCCTGCATGCCTGCCAGTGGGAGGGGAGCGCCGCCGGCTTGACTAAGTGGCGATGCTCACCGCGGGAGCTGCAGAGCGCACGGGGGATGAATGCGGCAGCTGCTGGGCACCGCCGCTCCTCCTCCGCTTTCCTTCCCCGGCTGGCTGACCGACTGGCTCGCCTGAAGGCAGGAAATCAGCCCGGCTCGTTCAGCGAGCTTCGCCATGACTTCTTCGGGGGCGCTAGGTAAGTCTCCCCTGCTCCCAGGCGGGAAGTGGAAGGGGGCGCTGAGCTGCCCTTGGAGGATGAGCGCGGACTGCCGCTGCTAACCCAGCGAAGCGCGCGGCTTCTTTGGCACCTGCAGAGCCGCAGCCTCGAGTTGTGCTTACCCTCGGCTCCCGCCGCTCGCTGCCTCTGGCTCCGCTCCACGCCGTCTCTGCTCTCTTCGCCATAGCAGAAGACCCGTTTTTACGGCGTATCCTCATGCAATATTCAAGACGGCTCTAAGTCTTCTCTGGATCTATACTTGGCTTGGGGAATCAACAAAACGAAAGGGGGAGAACAGTTCCCGAAGAGGTTAATCGGGGACACCACAACATGGCTAAAATTTAAAGGATCCTCAAACTATACGCTGCCACATTACTTAGAAACAAAATGCAACAGGTTTTTTTTTTTTAAATCTTATGCCTTGTTCTTGCCCCAGTGTTCCTCCTGTCCTTGCCAAACAGCTCATTCACTGTTGAATAGGGACTGTCCATGTTACTGGTTTCGCAAGGGCACAAGCACCAGAATGCAATGACATCACCAGCCCTCGGTGGTTCTTGGGTACTGCACATAGTAGCTTTCCCAAGGAACATACTGACTTGGGATGATGGGAGTTGTAGTCCAGTGCATCTGGAGCACACCAAGTTGGGGGCAGGCTGGTGTAGCCTGTTTTTTAGTGTTTACTGGATTTAATTTAGCATTGTGAAGAGATGTTCTGAATGAAGTGTGGTCTGTTAACATGAACTGCTTCCTATTTATTTCCTTGAGTTGGGAGTGTTGGGTAGGGCCTGTAGGTAGATGCTGGAAATTCCCTTATGGGTGCAGTGAGCAGTGTTGGGCATTTACTTTTTTAGTTTATCAATCCTGTGCCAGAGCAAAACGTGAGCTGTTTTGTCTGAGCAATAAAAAGCAATAGTGGTATAGCTCTGTTACCAATCTCCCTTAAACCCAACAGACAGAACACAGAGCTGGACTTAGAACTTGTGCAGTAGTTTGGTTACAGCAGGATATTGCTGCTTAGCAGAAATGCTCTTGGAACATTTCAAAGCCTTGTTGCAAAACCTTGTAAGGTCTAGAATAAAGAAACAGGAAGAGGAGTTTTACAATTTAGGAGAAGCCATTATAAAACAAAAGGGAGGTTTGAAATTGAGCAACAATTTCAGTTCCCAGTTTCCTGGATGCCAACACCGACAAGGAAGGATGCAAGGTTATATACTTTATGTAATGAAGTAGGATTGCTGAAAAGGCCTGGATATATCAGCAGTCGCCTGGATATATCAACACTTAAAATGTGATTGTATGTTTGCTTATGCAGAAGTATTGAGCTATTGAGCTCAGTGAAGCTTACTCTTGAGTAAGACCCACATCCTTAATGTTAGGTATCATTTATAATGTGAAAGCCACAGTCAGTTTCCAGACAGATTTCAGAGCAAGTAAATATTAATAGAGGATTGTTTCCTGTAAAGCAGCAAGCTCCTGTATCAACAGTTAGGAGGGTGTCAAGCCTAGATACAGCTCAGCCATGCCCTAGAGATCTAGTTTAGTAAATACGAGCACAGTAAATATTTTACTAGTATTTAGTAAACAGTAAAGCCAAAATTTTCACATCACTGGTTTAGACCTAGGAATTTAACATTCACTGCCCAGATTCAAGCTGCCACATAGACTGGGGTTTAAAAAATACCTTATAGATTCATATTAATTTTGATCAGATGTTAACAGATCAATTAGGTTTCATACATTATTTCATATGCACAAGGAATCTAGACTGCATGACAGAACTGTAACTGAGTGCCGCAAGGTTACATTGCAGAGTAACTTTATTCCAGAGTTACTGCTATAGAGCTCATGAAGGTAGGTTGATTCATAAAACTGAAATGTAAAGATAGAAACAGAGCGAGTCAGAAGGGGCCTCCCGGGCCATCTAGTCTGACTCCCGACTCCAGCCGGCTCTGCCCACCATGTGTATGTCCAGCTATGTTTGAACACACTCACCGATGGGGCCTCAATGACCTCTCGTGGAAGCCCATTCCACACCCTCGGGGTCCTGACAGTCAGGAAGTGCTTCCTGGCATCTTAATGGAACCTTGGCTCCCTGAGCTTTGCTCCGTTGGAGCGAGTCCTGCCTTCCCCTGCAGGGGAGAACAGGTCTCTACCCTCCTCCGTGTGATATTCCCTCGCATATCTGTATGTTGTCAACAGATCCCCTCTGAGTCTCCTCCAGGCTGAAGAGACCCAATTCCCTCAGTCTCGCCTCATACCCCATCCCCTGCAAACTGGCCACCAATCTTGTGGCCCTACGCTGCACTGACTCTAAGATATACATGATTTTAAAAAAATGAAGCTCTTTATGACTGAAAAAAACATTTTGATATATGTAAGACATTATTTATTATATTTTTACACCACACATCACCTTAAAAGTTCTCTGGATGGTTCGCAGAATCACCTTATGACAAGTATGCTTTCAGAATGGCTAGGAATTCTGATCTTCATCTTCTTTTTCCCCCATATATAGATGAATGAAGGGATATGACTTTAGACAGTGGCCTAATTTAAACAGCTCTCCTTTTCACATAAGCATATAATTACAACTGCTACTATAAAACTGCTTGACATTAAAAAGGCATAAATAATGGTGAATATTTGCCTTCATTTGAAAACTCCAGTTTTTCTTGCTATGATATTTGAATCATATATTTTAGTTAATATTTTATAGCCTACTCTGTCATAAGTGTAATAAAGGTGGCTAACAACATATTTATTTATTTATTATATTTATAGCCAGCATTTTTTCCTTTAAAAGAACTCAGGGGAGCTTGCATAATTCTCCTCCCAGTCTTCTCATAACAACGACCCTGTGAGGTAGGTTGGGCTAAGAGTCTGTGACTGGTCCAAATTCACTCAGTTGGCTCCATTGCCAAGCAGGACTAGAACCCAAATCTCCCAAATCTCAGTCCCACACTCTTAACCAGTACACCACACTGGCTCTCAACATATGTAACAGGATGCAGATATACAACATGCAATCTTAAAAATATAATTAAAACAGTTGTATAAATCAAGGGCAGCAATTTAAACCCAAGGTATAATTAAGTCTAAAATTGAGGTAAGAGCAAAATTAAACAATCAAACATTAGAAACTTGAGAAAGCTACGTTTTGAACTTTTGTCAGGTAGAACTTAGAGGGGGGCTCCATTTGGAAGGAGGGTCCAGAGCTACAGTGGTGCTAGAGAAGTTTTGTGGCAGTCCTGAGGGTAAGACTTCCAGGGCTGATCTCAAGGCCCAGGCAGGTTTATGAGGGAGTAGGTGGTCCTGCCCCCCGCACCCCAATCTGCAAGTCCTCTTTTAGGGACAGTGCACCCCGAAAGATTGAATTGCCTCTCTCAGTTCTCTGGTGCTCCTGCAAAGAGGAGAAGAGCTGTGCAGGATCAAATCCGGCCTGTCCATCCAGCATGCCATTCTTACAGCCGCCTGGAGATGGTTATTTCATTCTATACTACCTGAATCTTGCTTGGTGGTTTACACCAGTTCACGAAACAGAAAATACAACCAAACACAAGATTTCCAATATAAAAACAATTAAAAGTAGCCAAAACAGTATGATATAGAATAAACCTGTGAAACACTTCGGATACCTCTGGGAAGGCCCATGAGCAGGACGCAAGCTAACTAGTGCCCCCCACTTACCTTTTCCTGCAACTGGTATTCCCCTGCTTTTGACTGGACTTCAATTTGCATTCTCAAAGTGTCTATTAGAGACTGTAGCTTGGAACAGCATGGGTTAAAGTGGTCATCCCTCAGCTCACATTCGCAGTGCCCTGACAGAGTCAAATAAAGTGGTGCTGTGGTAAATGTAGGTCTAATTGTGACAAGGGTGCCTGGTGAAGCAGTTGTTCAGCCACTTCCATCACCTCGTGAACTCTGTATGGAAGAGCTCAATGCATGTTCTCAGTTTCATCAGACCACTTCAGCCAAGAAGGTTGTCCTTTGCTTTAGCATACCAGCTAACCATCCTCTTAGGAGAAATTGGGGTGTTCCCAGAGTACACATTTGCCTCACCACACAACTATGAAGCCTTTGTGGATTGCACCTGGTATATTCAGGACTGGGTTATATAGCAAAATGTTAGTCTAGAAAAATCCAAATGCATCACACAGAAGGACACAGAACTTCAAACATTCCTGAAGTTCTAAGCTTCAATGTAGTTATTCCCATGGTAGGGAAGCTTACTATGATGAAGGGCTGAAATATAGCAGATCTGTGGTAGTTTACAATGAGCCTATTGTCTACCATCAATAATTACAATGATAGCAGTTGTCTACCTTTAAATTTTCTGAGATTAACATTAACACAATTGTGATTACTGTCTAACATTTAGTTTCAATCTTGTGCTTTTTTTTAATAGCTGAGATGCCCAGACTTTTTCCAAAACTTAGCATTTCTGAGGTTGATGAGTCAGTGCGGCTTCTAGCTGAAAAAGTTTATGCCAAAGTTCTTAGAGAAGAAGACAGCAAAGATGCCTTATCGCTATTCACCGTGCCTGAGGATTGCCCCATTGGGCAAAAAGAGGCAAAAGAAAGAGAACTGCAGAAGGAGTTGGCCGAACAGCAATCTTTGGAAACAGCTAAAAGGTTTGTCTGATGATCATGCAGCTCTAACTCATGGTGCAATCCTATGCATGTTAGGCAGAAAACATCCTGCAATTTCCAGCATTCCCAGTATAGTAGGAGTTACAGAACTGGGAATGTTCCAGTAATGTTCTGTAATGTTCAGCTTAAAAATGAACAGAACATAACATGTTCTGTAATGTTCAGCTTAAAAATGAACTGGATTGTGCCCTTAAAGTAAGTTTTTTCAGTATATATTGAAACACATCATATGTGGTATGGTATCCTTGAGACTTGAATGTAGACAAAGTAAAATTTCACTACAAAACTATGCTTGGAATGAATAACAATGAGAGCATTTTTCTTTGGGCAATCTGTACCACCGCTTGCACAACACAATTGTGCTATTCTGTAGCAACCAGTGTAACTTTGCCACCTTTCTTTCATTCTACAAATTCTAGCTAGCATGTGCATTTACATAGAACTGATTTTGATGCCCAGAAGAATCAGGCCTTTCAGACATGCAGGTTATGCATACTTCAGAAATTTTGCTTCTTAACTATTGTTAGAAGCAGGAACTTATGGATTTGCCTTTCGTAAAACCTGGGTTTTCTCCCACTACCTCTTCCTTGCATTGTGTCCAGCCTCTAGTTCGATTTGTTAAAGAACATTGTCTTGGGTTACAGTAACGTGTATAGTCCTATAAAAATGTATTAAAAATAGAGACTAAAAGTAAGGAAATCACGAGTCTCATTCAGCCTTCTTCACACACTGCTGCATGCAGGATGCAGCTGCATCTTTTTGGCTTTTCTTCCATTTCCCTCTCACCTGGTGAGAGCATGTGGCATAAGAGGGCCCATCTGCAGCTTCCGTATGCCAACCTTGCCATCCTGTTCCTCACCAGGGCCAAGTGTGCAGGCTGCTGCTCTTCAGACTACAATTAATTATGCATGCAGCCCTGTGCAGCTGGGATGTACACATGAAACACATGCATTGGCTTCCTCTAACACAGCCTTCCCCAACCTGATGGCCTTCAGTGACATTTGGACCGCAGCTCCCAGAGTTCCCATCCGGCAGGGCCATTGACTGGGAGTTCTGGGTGTTGCAGTCCAAATGTGTCTGGAAGGCACAAGGTTGGAGAAGGCTGCTCTAACATCTAGCAGATGCTTTCTTACACAAACAGTTGAACTAAATAACATAAATATTTTTCTTTTGTGTGGGAAACTGTCTTCAAAATACATGTTCAAAGTTTAATCAGAAGAGGACTTCAGTGTTTGAATGCTGTCAGATTTAACTGGGATACTCCTTCAGTAAAAACTTTTTCTTTGATAGATGAAAATTACATTTAATGTTTCTGCTGATGTGCTGCCTAACGTGTCCTCAGTATATTGTCATGCTTCATGGCATTGTACTTGTGCAGCATCCAGTGAATGTTATCCTGAACAATTGCCAGCTGTGACATAAATACTTGTGTCTGGAATTTCTAAGTGCTATAAGTAATTTTAGTGGAATGATGAACTGATAATTCAAATATGGAAAGTGTGTGTTGTTCTGCAAAAAGAACAGACTCTTTTGTTGCCCTAGTTGTAAATGTCCTATTCACTTAAATGTTGTATGCTATGGATACCTAGGAAGAAAAGTTTCAAGATGATTCGATCCCAGTCCTTGTCATTGCAAAGTCCATTGCAGGAATGGAAGCCTCCACCAGCCACTCTGTCTGCGACTCCTCCAACTCCAGTTCTTCCAGGTGCTTTTCAGGCTGCCCCTGGGCTGTACGATGTACCAGAATTTCAAAGAGTCGCAATTAGTGGGGATTACTGTGCTGGGGTAAGGAATCAGTCTGTTTTTTCTTAGCTCATTGTCTTTAAAAAAGTGTGTGTGGCATACAAATATATGTGTTGCACATATGTGTATAGTTTAGACTCCATGCAGTAGAATTGGATATATAAGGGGTTTTTTCCTTGGTGATCTTTCGTTGGTTAATAAGGACACATTATAATCCATCTCCGGGCATTCCAAGAACAGCAGCAGTAAACATGGAAGGAGAGGGACTGCACTAGCCCTGCCCTTCCAGCATCACTTTTGTTGCCCTGTACATCTGGACAGCAGCTTTGTGCAGAGGAGAGCCTCCTGCATCCATGGGGGCTTTCCTCATGATCTGCAACAATGGTGTTCTTAAAATAAAAAATCCATGTTTTAATAATAATTTCTGACTTCAGGTGAGTGTTGATGATTACGAACAGGCTGCCAAGAGTTTGGCAAAAGCTCTGCTTATTCGAGAGAAGTATTGCCGGCTTGCCTACCATCGATTTCCTAGGACAACAGCACAGTATTTATGCAGCATGCGGAATGAAAAATGGAAGATTGAGGATGAAGTGGTTCCGGGTGAGCTAACTGATTTTTTAAAAATTCAGTTTGGCTTAATAAAACATAGGGATGGTTTTTTTACTTGTGTGGCTAATGTTATGCTGCTAGTCCTCTGGGTCAGGGCATTGGCCCATCTTGTCCAGTGCTGCTGACACTGTCTGGGAGCTGCTGTTGAAGAGTGTCAGTGTCCCACCTGTCAGCCACCTCTTTTCTACTCTGAAGTGCCTTAGCTAGATAGCTGAAAATAGTACTCTAGCAGAATTGCAAAGCAGAAGGCCTCTGCGTCTTTTCCTGCTCTGTATCAAATGCTTGTCAGTCTCAGAGTTCGGTGCTTACAAGCATCGAGGACACAGCTGAAATGATTGCAACCTAAGTTTACGTTTTGGGTGCACCTGTGCTTTGAGCCAGATAGATACCACCATACTGGGCTGAATGCAGAAGTTAAACAGAGTTGAAGTGTTCCAAATGATAATGATAATGATAATGATAATAATACAATGGCTTGGATCTAATGGTGTCATTCCATCAGCAGAAGGGAAGCTTGTAAGAGGGGCTACAGGGGATTAGCGGATAAGGAAATGCCATTGAATAAGTAAGTGTGGCCCCAGGGTTCTGTAAAAACCCTTTATGATTTTAATCAGACATTAAATTACTCCTTTGAAACTGATTCATTTTGTTTGTTTGTTTGTTTTGGGATGTTGTCACTAGGAATAATGCTGTATTTTGAAATATACCAGAAATCTCTGATTTATATTTTACAGATTTCCATCCACCCCTTAAAGAACTGCAGGATCCTTACAACCTTGATGATTCTCCAGGGAATTTGGATTACGTTGTAAAGATGAAGGAAGGCATTGCTGTAATTTTTGAGAATAAAGAAATGATGGAACTTAACAAGCCACGGAGTTTGCCTTATCCTGATTTACAGACATACACTCTTGACCTCAGTCATGTGCTGGCCCTCATTGCAGATGGTCCTACGTATGGCTTTCTTTCACTATAATATGCGCTCCCCAGAGAGGTCCGCCTGGCGCCGTCGTTATTTGCTTTTCGGCGCCAGGCAAAGACCTTTTTATTTAAGCAACATTTTAAATGCTAATACAACTGAATTTTATCTGGCCAGGGCGGCTTATTTTATAATGTGTGTTTTAAATTATGATCATTTTATATGGATATTTTAACTTATTGTTTTATCTAGTGTTGTAAGCCGCCCCGAGGCTTCGGCGAATGGGGCGGCATAAAAATGTTTTAATAAATAAATAAAATAAATAATTCTAGACTATTGTATATTTTAGTAGTTGCAGCATTGCCAGTATTCACGCCAGTCCTAAACAAGATCACTTAGAAGTGAGAGCCACTGCGTCCTGTAGATGCGTGGCTAGGACTGAAGCCTTCAAGGCTTAATAACTTGAAACCTCAAAATGTGAGGCAGAGATGAGGGGCGTATGTAGAGAACCTGGGTAATGGCAGTGCTTGAATTATACCTCTGATGGTTTGTGTAGCATTAATCAGAATGAAGATTTATTAGTTATATTTCTGATTCTTAGTAGATAATCTAAGTATTTCATTTAAATAATTTTCATCTCTCTTGAGCTGCTGGACCATATGTAGTAATATTTCTCTTTTTGCAGGAAAACATATTGCCACAAGCGGCTGAACTTTCTAGGGTCTAAGTTTGGTTTACATGAGATGTTAAATGAGATGTCTGAGCTTAAAGAACTAAAAAGTAACCCTCATCGGGATTTTTACAATGTGAGAAAGGTAATTCCTTTTTAATTCTAGTCAATGTCACTTATCGAAACTATCGCCTGTATGAAACAATTCAAATGTGATATTGTGCAGAATGTTACGTCAGGAGAGCAGCAAGTTACTCTTGCAAGGTCCAGGTGCAGACTCACTGTATAGTTTGGTTATGCGATTCACAAAAGAAGGACACAAATTGGGATTTAGAGCAGTGTGTTGCAATGTCTGTCCCGTTGCTAGTAGAAATGCTCCTGAGTTCCAGAAATGCTCAGAAATGTTCTGAGTTCCACCCTATCTGTAGCTGTAACCCTGTGGTTGTTCCCCGTGGGAGATGGGAAGGGTTTCAGAAGGGAAGAAATGAAAATTTCTCACTTTTTTTGATTGTTCCTCTGCTGTGCTATGTAGCAGCAAAGGAGTCTGGTTTGGGAAGGGAGATGCTAGCAGTCAACATGAGTGTTTTTAGAGAGGGAGAGGGTTTGAGTGTGTTCTGGAATTCATGAAGAGGTTATTCAAACCGCTTCCTGCTCTTCTGAAACCTTCCTCTATACCAGGAATAGGGCACACATGTAGCCCATAATTTAAGAACTTAAGAAAGACCATGCTGGATCAGATTAATGGTCCAGCACTCCGTTCACATAGTGGCAAACCAGCTGCCCATGGGATCCCTCAAGCAGAATGGGTGCAAGGTTTCTACCTGCCCAAGCTGCTCAGCAGCTGGTGTACGGTGGCATGCCCCCTTTGGTGAAGGAGGTAGCATGCAACCAACTTTTTCCTCCATGAATTTGCCATTCCCCTTTCGAAGCCACCCAAACGATGGTTCATCACTACTTCCCGTGACAGTGAATTCCATGTTTCGTGTACTGTATGAAAGAAGTCCTTCCTTTTCTCTCTCCTGATCTCCCACTGATCAGCTTCCAGGGCAGTATTATAGGAGAAGGAGAGAAATATCTCACTTTCTGATTTTGCTGTACCATGTATACCTTTAAGTAGCTCTACCATGCCTGCCTTTACTAGACTTTTTTCTAAGCAAAACAAGCCCAGGTGAAGTAATTGCTCTGCCTCTGTGTTCCCCCCCCACATTGCCTCTCCATGTAAAAAAATCTGGAAAAATGATCCTTAGTGACTCGAGAGTGCCAAAAGAATTAAATTTTGTTTGAAAATAAGCAAAATTTAATAATGTAGCATTCTGTAATGCTGCTGAATTTCAGTAGTATATGAGTAATTTGGGTTTTTCTTCCAGGCACCCCACAACCTGCAGCCCTATGATAAAGGTCCAGGGGGAAAAATGCCCCCCAGAGCTCCAGAAGTTGCCTGCCCTGCTATATAGCATGGAGAGAGAGCTGATCTCCATGATGGGTACAAAGATGGCAAAGAACAAAATGGAATGGCTGAAATGGGTGAAAAAAGTATATATAAATTGAGAGAGAGAGAGAGAGAGGGAGGGAGGGAGAGGAGAGCCAGTGTTGCATACAGGTTAAGAGTGCTGAACTGAGGCTCAGAGATCTGGATTCTAGTCCCCATTCAGTCCTGAAGCTCACTGAGTGACTTTGGGCCAGTGAGAGACTCTTAGTCTAACCTACCTCACAGGATTGCTGTTGTGAGGATCAGGTGAGGAGAAGGAGAATTATGTAAGCTGCCCTGAGTCCCTTGAAAAGAAAAAAGGCAGGGCATAAATATAAATAAATAAAAATGGAAAGAAGTAGCAGCTTAGAATTCTATTGCTATTCCACGAGGGTTGTATGCTTGCTGGGTTTTTAGTCTCTCCTCAAATTTATACTTGCTAAAGCTCCTTCAGAGTCAGATGCCCTACTATGCCGTTCTATGGATATTGATTATCCAAAGACTGCCACTGCCTAGCACAAAGACCGCCCATGTTCAGTGAGGGGCACGGTGACCTTGCTTAGGCAGGAATGGTAGAAATGTCACCTTCACAGAATTACTCTGGATTCTGCAGTCTTGTTAAATGCTTGCCGTGCACTTAAAGCTTTCAACACTCAGGACATAGCACAAGCTCAAATAAGCTATACATGAAGCACTAATAATAGTGCTACCTTCTCATTAGTAGTCATAGAACATGTTTTGATTGGGTGCAAAGAAAATTTTTCATACTGTTGGAAGATGCATAATAGAGGATATGATTAAGCTATATCTCATATGATCAATGAGCATACAGTTGATATGCTCATTATTATGATTAATAATTTTATGAGCATATGCTTAATATGTACTATACTATAAAGTGTCGCATCTTTGTTCAAATAACTTTTATAGAGTTTCTTTTTGAGTATGAAGGCAAAGAGTTAATATTTCCAAAGTTACTATGGCTAGTTTTAACAGCAGATTTCTTTGTACTACCTTTATATGAGGTATCTTCAAAAAGTTTCTGCACTTTTATTTATTTTTTTGCCAATGCCATTAAAAAGTTGGTAAGATGCTGGGAAAAATGCATTGCAAAGGAAGGAGATTATGTAGAAAAGTGATGTAATTTGTTTTTGAAATTCTTAATAGAGTTTTAAAAACTGGAAACTTTTTGAAGAACCCTCGTACAGTGGGGCTGTGCATAATGTGAATTTAAAAGAAAATCTGTGCTCAGCCATAAGTAAGCTATAAAGTAGGCAAATAATTTATTATCATTATTTTAAAATAATCCTGTAGCATAAATTAGGCGTTATTCAATTATTTGAATATTTTGATTTTTTGCAAATATAGCAGTGTAATGTAGTGATATGAGGTAAGAAAGGAAGTATATCCCTGAAGTAACTAGGACCAGGAACTACGAGGAAATTAAGGGACTTGATTCAGGCACATTTCCACACCTTCTGTATAGTACTCAACTGCGAAATGTAACACCCTGTTCATGCTTCATGGCAAACAGTGATATTCAAAGTGTTTTTTAAATTATTTTTTATCCTTCTTTTAGGACCAAACCTTTAAAAACTACTTTACAGCTTAAGAAATTAAGGACAGAACATTAAATATCAAAACAATCCATAAAACAACCAGAGATTAAAACCAGCGTTTGGTCAACATTGTATGCTATCCTAAATGCTCAGGTGTGGCTGAGTATTTCCTCCACCACCCCAGCAGTCAAATCAGGAAATACTGCATTGCTTCTCTAGAATCAGTAGGTATGAAGAAGCAATGTGGAAAAAACCGCGATGTTGCATTTTGCACAACTCCTCACTCCTCTATAAAATCACTAGCCTTTATAGTGGCTGTGTTACTGAAGAGACAATTCCCATATTTGCTAGCAAAGGAAGTATTTTCCATACCATAGGAAAGTGGCAATTTGGCTGGGTGGATGCATTTTAAGTCTTTCATGCCAGTATCCTTCCCGCTTGCTTGGTTATTCCTGTCGTAACCTCACAGGCTAGTTATAGAAATGAAATGAAATGATCTGAGTTCTTTTATGTATAGAATATCATCTTGGTTGAAACTGAGTGAAATAAGACAGCCAATCAATTAATTGTGAGGTTCTGTGCTTTTATTGTTAATTTTCTTTATCTATACAACTATGGTCCTGTAAGCATGGAGTTTTGATGGTTGGTGCTTTAACGGTATCCTGGTCCATGTTGGTCTAAAGCCAAATTTGTGATTACCTCTGTTCAGCCAGTGAAACATACCTGGGAAAGGAAATAGTAGTTTTCTTTGTATATGCAGACACTGACTTTGCTTAGTAGCAGAAGCCCTGGTTGTCACACAAAGCATGAATTAAATTATATTTCATTTGACAGTATTTTAGATTGCGTGTTTGAACTGACAGCTGCACTTCCTGCCAGATTACAGGATAATGTTATTTTAACATAATTGATCATATGGACAGTATCTAACAGGATGCTTATTTCTCCCCGCTCATCCTCTTGTGCCCTGTAGATTTTGTTGTGCAAGCGGTGGGTTCTGCAGATACGGTTGCTTAAGTTTGGCCCATTGCTATCACAACAGAGATTTAACACATCACAGAGGCAACCCTGAAATTAAAAGAAGTGTTTCGTTAAGCAAGCCCCGCCTAATTGCCCTGTTCCAGAAATGACCATCTTCACTTTTATCTGGTTGTTGCTGGGGGTGCTAAATCTCTGTTCTGTAACTGGTGGGTGCTGCTGGCAGGTGGAAATTGGCAGGGGACAGAAGTAACCCTTAGGATTCTTCCCTGTAATTTTTTTACCAGCATATAGAGTTGCTTATTAATGGAAGCTTTGATACACTACTTGAGCCTGTGAATTTACATTGTAAATGTAGGTTTAAACTGTAGTATAATATAAATAAGGTTTTAATACTATTCAAAATATTAACCAATTTTACTTTGCCTAAGAAAACAGTATTTCCTGCTATCTTGTTGACACAGATCCCTAATACAACCCCCTCATTTGGATGTCTCAGACTAATTTGCATGTTATCCATCTGCAGCACTGCTGTGTGTAGCTGATAAGGTTGATTAGAAGAAAAAAAAATAGCCAAGAAAGGAACACAGGGAAGTAAAACAAAGCCTAACTTCCACACCCACAGAGTTGTTCATTTCCTCATGGCATACTTAAAATAATACTTGCCTGGTGTGGCAGTAGTGAAAGATGATACAGAATGTATCTACTGCTTGATTAACATGATGCTCTTAAAACAGTTTAAACTTATGCAAACATAGCAGCATAAAATACAGTATCATATCATAATCATATAGCTTTTTTTCTTGTTGACAAACTTGCATGTGGAAAAGAGAAGTCATTCCTGGAAAGTGTGGTTAAGGTACGATGCAGAATCGGTAGAAGGGAGTCTAAGCGCAAGTTGGCCCCTTGGTATTATTTTCTTATATTTGGTGGATGTACTCATGGACTTGAAAGAACAGAGACCAGCCTGGATGGCTTGGAAAGGAATTGGGCAAATTAAGAGGATACGGCTACCAGTGGCTGCTGGTCATGATGGCTGTATGCTGCTGCCAATATCAGAGTCTGAACAAGCCTGTGCATACCAGTTACTGGGGAGTACAGCTCTTGCAGTCCAGTCCTACCTGTGGGTTTTCTGTAAAC